GATTACTGTGCCCATTTTACACACAGGTAAACTGAGGGTTGTTAAGCAGTTAATTAAAACTGTCTTAGCAAATTGAATTAAGACTTATTTCTTGGCTCAGTAGAATAAGTGCTTGCCTGACAAGTAGAATAAGTGCTTGCAAGGGCCTGAGTTCAATCCCCAAAAAAAAAAAAAAAAAAAAAAAAGACCTATTTCTTGATTGATCATTCCAGTAGCTGATGCTGCATAAACTGATAAGCTATGTGCCTGCAAGTAATTTCTGGAAATAGGTAAAACAAAGTCAAGATTCATGTTGGCTTTCCCTTTGTCCTCCAGCAAGGGCCCTAAGGCAACTATGTGGGCTTTGAAGCCTGTTCTCTGATAAGAGTTAGTTTACTGCTATCTGAAAGTGACTAAGAGAAAGATTTGTTTTGAGTCAGGGTCTTCTAAGAAATCCAGGGTGGTCTTGAACTCACTACGTAGCCCAGTCTAGTCTTGAACTTTGCCCCTCTTGCCTCAAACTTGGGAATGTTGGGGGGAAAGCATCTTGATGTTATATCCATGCTCCTTTTGTCAAACCAGGCCAATCCCTTAGTTGAATGAAGTTCAGAGTCGTTCTTCATATCTGTAGAATTGAAATGTAATGAGAATTATTCTGACCATTTCTTATTTTCTTGGTAGTGGGGATTCAGCCCAAGGGCTTCACACCAGACTATATCCCAGCCTTCTTTTAGGTTTAATTTAATTAATTAAATTTATTTTTTGAGGAAAAAGTCTCACTGTATTAGTTAAGACTGTCTCTGAAACTGTATAGCTCAGACTGGCCTGAAACTTGGCATTCCTTCTGCCTCAGCTTCTCAAGTGCTGGGATTACAGGCATGGCCATGATGCCTGGCTATTTTATTTTTTTGTAGTACTAGGGATTGAACTCAGAGCCTTGCACTTGCCAAGCAGACGTTTATGCCAGTGAGCTATCACCCCAGCCCAGGCTATTTTAGTGGTTTTTTTTTTTTTCAGAACCAGGGATTGAACTCAGGCCTTTGCACTTGCCAGGGAAGCACTTATTCTACTGAGCCATCTCCCTAGCCCCTGCTATTTTAGTTTGGAGATAAGATCTCACTGATGTATTTCAGGCTAGCTTTTAATTCACTGTGTGCCAGGCTGACCTCAAAACTCAAGGTGCTTCGCCCTCCTCAGCTTCCTAAATGCTGGGATTATAGGTGTATGCCACTACATCCACCTCAAACAAATGACAGATTTGTTAGATGCCTATGTATTTTTTTCTTGTAGTGGTGAGGATAAAGCAAGCTAGACAAATGCTCTATTATGAGCTACCTACCCCTTAGCTCCCCTTTTTTTAATTTTTAATTTTGAGAGTTTCTCACTAAGTTCACCAAACTAGTCTTGAACTAGTGATTCATCTCCCTCAACCTTCCGTAGTGCTGCTTCTCCTTTTATAGGAGAATATTCAAAATATTTATTGAAAAATAATACTATGTCATCTGTTCAGGAGGACATAATATCCTATAGGAGGATATAATATCCTATATACTCTGATCTGGTTGGCTGGTCTGGTTTTTTTTTTGTTTGTTTTTTGTTTTTTGGCAGAACCAGGGATTGAACTCAGGCCCTTGCGCTTGCCAGGCAAGCACTTATTCTACTGAGCCATCTCCCTGGCCCCCGGTGTGTTTATTTTGAGACAGGGTCTTGAAATTAAATTAAACTGAAAAGAATGCTGGGATATAGTTTGGTGTGAAGACCTTGTGTAGTCCAGGCTGGCCATGAACTCATGGTGATCCTTATGCCTCAGCCTCCCAAGTGTTCAGAATTATCAGTGTGTGCTACCACACCTAGTTGGTCTGGTCTTTCTGATGCAGAAAGTCATGCCTATAACTATTGCTCCTCCCTATACTCTGTTTCTGTAGTTTAGGAGAATACCTCTTTGCTTCTACTTAAAAGATAAAGTATCAGGCAATCAGGATGGAAATAACCATTTGGGCATCTCTCTCACCCTGTGTGTGTGTCCGTCCGTCCCTCCCTCCCTCTTTCTCCCCCTCTCCCTCTCACCATCTCCCTCTCCCTCTGTCTTTCCCTCTTTCTCTGTCTGTCTCCTCTCTCCACCCCCTCTTCTCTCTCTTTTCTCCTCTCTCTCTTGTGCTGGTATTCGAGGTAGAAAGCTGGGCATGAGCCATGTTATGGAGTGTATAGGTTTCAGTTTCTTTGCTAAGACAGGTTAGTTTACTACATACCTAGAGTTCCAAGATGATAATTTTTTTTTAATAATTTTTTTGTGGGGGCTGTTCATCCTGCCCTGAGGGCAGGGCTGGCACGATATGCCAATTGAACTTCAGTCCTATGCACCTGCCTAAGCTTGCCTAAGCAGGCACTTTAGATTGCTGAGCTATCTCGCAGGCTCCCAAGATCATGTTTTTGAGGCTGTGTTTAGATTTAGCAGGAAAGAGCGTTAATCAATTAATGATGTCTGTCAGAGGCATGGCATAGGAGTGCTGTGGTATGTATGCCATACATCTTACATTTCCAGACTAGGTACATCTCTAATATCACTTGGGGCTGGTTCCTCTGTAATTGGCAGACTCAGCAGGCATGACTGGAGAGGGAAGACCCAATGGTGCTAGAATGGTGCTGCAGTGGCAGAAGACGGCTCACGAGTGAGGTCTGGAAGAACAACAGGGAAGACATCCATCATTTGCTCCAAAGTGTGCAAGTCAGATCCTGGGGAGAATCATGATAACTCTGATCACTGAGCAGCTACAGAAGCAGACTCTGGATGAGCTGAAATGCACACGCTTCAGCATCAGTCTGGTAAAAACTAGTTTTCCTGCTTCTCTGTGACCTCTTCCCCCTTTTTTCTGAGGCTGTTGCTACTATTTTACCCTTGTCCTGTGTTACATGAATCATTGTACTTACACTGGAATAGCCACTAAAAGCTCACAACCCAACCCAAAATGAAGGGGGCAGGGATATTTCCCCTGAGGGAGAAGGGATGTCAAAACTTGGGTGGAGAAGGGTTTTGAGGAATTGGAAGATATGGATTGTTTTACTCACTAACTTTGGGAAGACAATAAGAGAACACTTAGGAGACTTTAACACCTTTGGGATCCATGAGTTGTAGGGAAAAATTGGAGAGGGCTCTCTAAAAATTTGTCTGCATGTCCTGAATCTGAATGGTAATAGATTTTCTCTCTCTCTCTCTCTCTTTCTCTCTCTCTCTCTGTCGCTGTCTTAGCCTTTGCCTGATCATGCAGATATCTCCAACTGTGGGAACCCTTTCCAGCTTGTGTCTGGTAAGATATCCAGTGTGTGTATCATGTATGTGTGTTTACTCATGTCCCTGTCTGTACATTGTTCATATTGGCTACCAGTGGCCAGAATTAACTAGCCTAGTTCTAGAATGTTCTGTTTGTTTGGTTTTGTTGGCTTTTTGAGACAGGATCTCATTACATAGTATAGGCTATCTTTGAATTCAAAGAGATACTCCTGCCTCAGCCTCTAAGATCTGGAATTACAGGTATGCACCACCACGCCTGGCCTTAGCTCTAGAATGCTCCTTTTTTAAAAAAAATGTATTTGGTTGTTGCAGGGTCTCACCATGCAGCTCGGACTCATGGTGATCTTCCTGCTTTCACCCTCCCCAACACTAGCATTACGGGCATGTGCCACCATGCCTAGACTCTGTTTGGCTCAACCTGTCCTGGGAGCAGCGCTGGTGTGGCATGAGGTGCCAGGGATCAAACTGCAGTCCCTACTCTTTCCTAAGCTTGTCTAAGCAGGCACTTTGGTCTGCTGAGCTATTTCACTGGCCCCTAGCTCTAGAATGTTTTTGCCAGAGGATCACTTTGTGAGATCACGTTTGTTTCCATTTTACTGTCCCAGCATACCATTACTGCTTAGGGGACTTTTCTCTCGTTTTGTTTTGTGGTACTGGGGATTGAATTTATGACCTTGTGTGTGCCAAGCAGGTGCTTATGTTGCTGAGCTATCTCCCTGGCCCCTTTATGGGGACTTTTCTAATTGAATTGTTTAGAATAGGTAATACATTTACATGGTTTAGAAATTTTAAAGTTACAACAAAAAAGGTTTCTGAGCTCTTGCTGCCTCTTTAAAAGTAACAGATCTGGGGCTCTGAGTGTTTACCTTGCATAAATGAGACCCTGGCTTTGAACCCTGCACTCAAAAAATAGAAACTCCTGTTACTTTTTTTTTTTTTATATAACCAATCCTAATTTCTTTATGTAAATAGAAATATATTTATTCCTCCCACATTTTTATTTATTTTGTGTGTGTGTGTGTGTGTGTGTGTGTGTGGCCAGCTCAGCCCACCAGGGGGCCAGGCTGGCTGGCATGTGGTGCTGGGGGGTTGAACCGTGGTCCCTGTGCTTTGTTGAGCTTGTTCTAAGTAGGTGCTTTAGACCACTGAGCCATCTCACCAGCCCCTCCTCCCACATTTTTAATGTAAAAATATTATATGTCATTATGTCATTTTGTGCCTTTATATTTGAGGCAGGATTATGTTACATAATTCAGGGTGGCCTTTAACTCACTGTTTAGCTCAAATTGGCCTTAACTTCATGGTGATCTTCCTGCCCCAGCCTCCTTGGTGCTGGGATTACAGTTGTGTACTACTATGCCAAACCTATGCCTTTAAAAAAATAAAAATTCATCTAGGAGGAACATTTTCTCTGTTCATATCTTGAAGATTTTGTTTTTTCTTTTTTTCTTTTTTTTTTTTTTTTAATGTACTGGGGATTGAACTCAGGACCTTGCAGTTGCCAGACAGGCATTTAAGCCACTGAGCTCCC